GCGTAACAAAGAAAACTTTTTACAGTAGCTAGTAGATACCTCTGTTTGTAAATCTAGGTGACCTTGTTTCCCCTACTGAGAAGTTATTCAAATGGAGTATAGTGATCAGCATTTAAAGTTCATTTAGTTGTTATTTAAGTATACTTTTTAAAATGACTTAAAAATCCCAAGAAATAAAGCAAAATTCCCTATTTCCCCAAATCCAAAAAAATCTGTAGATCTGGCATCACTCTTTCAAGGGCTGTGCCTCATCTTAGACAAATTGTGCTGCCCTCTGTTAACGGATTGTATTAACATATCGGAATACGAAGTCGGAATTGTATAAGTAGTGACATCTATTACAAAAAAGGCAAACGACGGAAACAAAGATGACCACCGGTCGCTGAATTACAAGTGGAAGTGGATCTTATTTGTGGAAGGACGAAACGCGCGGTGACTATGAGATGCCTTCATTATAGCCATCCTTTTCTATCGCACGGATTCCTATGACTTACTTTATACCGAACTTGCCGAACCTGTATGTGTCTCCGCTACCGTACTAGAACGTCGTTTGTTGGTGGTAATATCGGCCCCTGCGTCGGCTGACAGAGTGACGAAAGAACGTCTAAAGCAGTGCCCTGTATAAGTTTTCGGATGAGGCAAATTGAGATAAGTTGCTATTTCTTTTGGTACATTCCTTATTTTGTTGACACCAACCACTTGGTTAACACGTTTTTTCTCTGTCATACTTCACAAAAAATCTTCGACTTGTAGTAATTGGAATATGAGTTTTGTAATCGAGAATTCTTATAATAATAATTGAATCTTTGTCTTCTATATCACCGATCGTTATCTTTAGTAGCTCATCTCTTCTCAAAGCTCCACAACTCTCTCTGCACAAGGTTATAAAAAGAATACTTTTTTCTATAAACAAAAATCATACAAAATTAATATAAATCCCTTGCCAAAATATTATAGTTTACTTTCATCATCGGAGATACTTAAAGTGTCAACATTCCTCAATCCAGTTGGCATTGTAGGACGATATTATTTCAATTAACACCTAATAGCCTCTCCATGACAAAGAACTATCTCGCGCGCGGCGCCATTACGAGCTCGACGTGAAAGTCGATCGGCACAATGCTGGAAAAATGAACCAAGCCTAAAAATAGGCATGTTAAGACTCTAATAATCACTTAACACAATAAAGCCCTCATTTCACACTTGATGCCGCGGAGAAAACACCGATATGGACCTCTATATCGCAGCGACGCCCTTCGGAGATGCTTTTGTTGGTCGAACAATTGAAGCTGATTGTTCCCATTGTGTTTGTCCGCTTATAAGGCCGGAATATTCACCCGTTAATTTACCGGGAAATTACCAGAAGAAATGAGACTGTTTATCAGAACGCCGGGCTGGTGTATTACACGGGGTTTATTAACATTTGACAGTGATCCGAGGGACAATGGGCCTCAAGTCTGCCACAGCCACGGACGTGTTTCCTAAAAAGTTTCGTTTTTTACCATTAAATTACTATGAAAATAAATTTAATAATAAAGGTTTATCTAATTGAAAAATTGCATTTTGTGGGATCATGATCCTTTTCCTTCATAAACCACTTCATCAAACTCTACATCTTAAAAAAATCCGGTTAAAATCGCACAATAAAAAGATTTTACAGAGGTGACTTAAAAACAAATGAGTCACACTGCATAAAAGGTATCCCTTAATTTTTGACAGAGAATCGCTCCTGCCATATCGTTAAGTAAGTGTTTTTTTAGGTTTTGTAAAAAAACTTACTTAAGCGGTTATTGAAAGTAACAAAAACAAAACGGATTACTGTTTACATAAACTTCCTCAATTCTGTGGCACATTCCCAACGAGATTCGAGTTTAAATTCGAACGAGCCTTGTAACAAACGACTATCGATTTTGACGGTGAGCTGACAGCTGGGGACCTGGGAATGGGAAATAATTTTGCCGTTTGGGGATTTAGCAAAGTGCCGATTATATTTCGTGGAGTAGAGAGGGTCGTTTGGACTCATTCACCGAATAAACACACAGAATAAAATCCTTGTCTGCTTGAGGATTACCTGCAAAATTCCAGGGAAAACCATCAGGAAGTTGGAGGGAAGATTTATGTTTTTAAAACCTATAGTATTGTGTTTTCCACGGAAAGGAAACTGCTGTAGATATTCAAGCAATTGCGGGTAAAATTGTTACAATTTGAGGTAAAATAGGAAAGAAATCGTTTACAAAAACCTAGGTTTGTTAGCGCAACCCTGAAATATAATAATATACAGTAAGACTTTGTAAGTACGATTATAGTAAAAATTTCTGTAATCAAATAATTTTCTTTTTTTAATGTTAATTTTTGCAATAAATCTGAAAAAACTTAATATTTCCGAAACAGTTGAAGGACACTGTACTTATGAAACATGTCTCGAATTTTCTGAAGAATCCAAAAATTGAATAATATACAAGGTGTTGCATTTAAAATAAGAAAGTTGGTATTGACTACTATTACATAAAAAACCCTGCATAAAAAGTTTTTGTTGAAAAAAAAGCACAACTAAAAATATCAATCGACGTGTCTGAGCGTTTTTTCGAACATTTACTTATTATTGAATTTATTCTATTTGGCTGATACACACTGTATATAGGGTGTCCCAGAGCTATCTTGACAGGCATTATCTCGGAAACTAGTCGAGATAGAAAGATATGATATATTACGAAACTTCAATTTTTTAAATGGAACACCCTGTATATTTTTATGTTTTTGGATTCTCCTTTTATTTCTGAATATATTTGATTAACCATGTTCTATACTTATCATTAACCGTTCTTGAGGTAATATAGAAAACATTCTTGGAGTAACATTTATTTATTATGTACTCTCAGGAATAATACGAAATAAAAAACATTATAGGTATTATAAAATGTTCTCAAATTGTCGGCCATTTTCATTTTGACACAATTCATACCTCCTTAAAAGTGCTTGTATACTTCTGGAGATATTTGACGGCAAGCACGAGTGTTTTTATTCTTTAGATCTTCAACGTTATTTAGTTTTTCAGCGTACACAACTTGCTTTAAATGTCCCCACAGATAAAAATCGAGAGGACTCAGGTGAGGTGACGGTGCAGGCCACCTAACAGGTCCCTGATTACCAATCTAGTTCCCTCCAAATCTTTCAGTCAAAAAATGCGTTACCATTATTGTGAAAACGTGCTACATGGGTCCACATAATTTTATGCAGGAACTGAGGGTCGTCATATAACTGAACCATAACGTAGGCAATATACTCTAGACGTCTGTTGTAATCATTANTACATAAACTTTCTCAATTCTGTGGCACATTCCCAACGAGATTCGAGTTTAAATTCGAACGAGCCTTGTAACAAACGACTATCGATTTTGACGGTGAGCTGACAGCTGGGGACCTGGGAATGGGAAATAATTTTGCCGTTTGGGGATTTAGCAAAGTGCCGATTATATTTCGTGGAGTAGAGAGGGTCGTTTGGACTCATTCACCGAATAAACACACAGAATAAAATCCTTGTCTGCTTGAGGATTACCTGCAAAATTCCAGGGAAAACCATCAGAAAGTTGGAGGGAAGATTTATGTTTTTAAAACCTATAGTATTGTGTTTTCCACGGAAAGGAAACTGCTGTAGATATTCAAGCAATTGCGGGTAAAACTGTTACAATTTGAGGTAAAATAGGAAAGAAATCGTTTACAAAAACCTAGGTTTGTTAGCGCAACCCTGAAATATAATAATATACAGTAAGACTTTGTAAGTACGATTATAGTAAAAATTTCTGTAATCAAATAATTTTCTTTTTTTAATGTTAATTTTTGCAATAAATCTGAAAACACTTAATATTTCCGAAACAGTTGAAGATAGGTATAGGACACAGGACATGTACATGAAATATGTCTAGAATTTTCTGAAGAATCCAAAAATTTAATAATATACAAGGTGTTGCATTTAAAATAAGAAAGTTGTTATTGCCTACTGTTACATGAAAAACCCTGTATAAAAATTTTTTGTTGAAAAATAAAGCGCAACTAAAAATATCAATCGACGTGTCCGAGCGATTTTTCGAACACTCCCCTATTTACTTATTATTGAATTTATTCCATTTGGCCGATACACGCTGTATACCAGAGATATCTTGACAGGTATTATCTCGGAAACTAGTCGATATAGAAACAAATGTTATATAGAAAAGGCTTTCTGCTTAAAAAGATGCGTTGAATCATTTTATTTTCAAATATACAGGGTGCCCCATATAGACGGTATATTGCGGAACTTCAATTTTTTAAATGGAACACCCTGTATATTTTTATGTTTTTGGATTCTCCTTTTATATCTGAATATATTTAATTAACCATGTTCTGTACCTATCATTAACCGTTCTTGAGGTAATGTAGAAAACATTCTTGGAGTAACATTTTTTTAATAAGTACCCTCAGGAATAATATAAAATAAAAAACATTACTTATAGCTATTATAAAATGTGCTCAAGCACGAGTGTTTTTATTCTGTAGATCTTCAACGTTATTTAGTTTTTCAGCGTACACAACTTGCTTTAAATGTCCCCACAGATAAAAATCGAGAGGACTCACGTCAGGTGACCGTGCAGGCCACCTAACAGGTCTCTGATTACCAATCTAGTTCCCTCTAAATCTTTCAGTCAAAAAATGCGTTACCATTATTGTGAAAACGTGCTTGATCATACCACATAATTTTATGGAGGAACTGAGGGTCGTCATGTAACTGAACCATAACGTAGGCAATATACTCTAGACGTCTGTTGTAATCATTAGGTCTTAAATTTTGAACCAAAGATAATTTGTAAGGATGATGTTCATTATTTGCTAGAATTCGATGAACCGAAGATTTGCTTGTATCAATCTTTTCCGCAATATTACGAACAGACGCATGTGGATTGACGCAAGAATATTGATAGTATTTTCTTTGTCTCTCAACTGAGCTACCTTTTCTCTTGTTCCAGATGACGCCAGTGCAACTTTGACCTAGCCATGGAGTCCACGAAGATCGTAGTTGTAGTGTTGAGTGTGTTGTGCTTAGTGAACCTAGTTAGGGCAGCCCGATGGGCACACTCCACGTACCTCAGTCCGGACTATCGAATGTTGTGGTCCTTGGGTCCGGGTCCCCAGGACATCACCATAGAGCTGCAGGTCAGGACGCTGGGGTACGTGGGGTTCGGCTTCTCCAAAGACGGACGCATGGCTGGTGCCGATATGGTAGTCGGGTGGGTGGATCACGGACAGGTCTACTTCCAGGTAAAGATATTTTATTATAATTGTTATATAAGTGCTTAGTGTGGTTATTTACTCTCGCCTTCAATCCAGAAGCAAACGGAACTGTTTCGATGTTTTTGTCTTGGTCTTCTTGAAAGGCTAAGAGCAAAACTTGGAATGCCAAGACAACTCTTAGATTACTGTGGTCTTGGTTTTTAATTTGCAGAAAATTTACAGTCCTGTTGATGATATAGGGTTTGACTTTGGCGTACATTGCTAGACTAGTTGTATTTGTCATTAAAACATTGAAATTAAATAAAAAATGTCACTGTCATTGTACTGTAAATGTCTAAACCAGAATCTTTAAGGATCTTAATTGATGCCAGCAGATAAAGTTACGTATGGAATTCGGTCATAAGTATACGCTGAATTATATTCATATTTATCGCTTTTCTGACCCTTATAACAGAAATAACTACTACAGTACTGGTTCCTTCTTCTTCCTCTTCTTTTAATATCGTCGAGAAACGACCGTGAGGCTCCTTCTGTTTTAAAGACGTTTAAGTGTTCTGGTGAAACAACCCTCAAAACTTTCAAACCGCCGCTGCCTTGCCCTAGAGCTAAATGTGAGTCCTAAAAAACTCGACAGCGAACATTTGCCGTCAGGACCAAATTATCCGCAACGAGCAGAGGGCGTCGAGTTCCATTAATTGTATAATTAAAGCGTCTTCAGTGCACTCCAGTTTCCAATGCGGGCTATAATTCCTATTTCAAGCAGTTTTCCGCTCCGAAAATCACCGACTTTTGCAATCCAGACTTACACATTAACCCAATTTCATCGCGCTCTTCAATTACCTACCCTCCCCGCCCCCCTAAACGAACGACATTAGGGGCACCGCGATCGATCTAGTCAGTGTCGAATGTTCTATTATTTTCTTTCAACAGAGCACATTTGATACTTCACAAAATAACCAAACAAGTAAATGGTAAGTTCCTGCGTCAATTTTTAATTTTTCGTTAAAGAGAATTTGAAATCAAAGTTCATCTTTGACAACAGATTTTGAGAGGAAAATGGTGATAAAAAATAACTTAATTTGCGATTTAAATTTAAGACAACTGCATACTGCGATATGTTACAAAAAAATTATAAATAAATCTGAAATATTTTATGGTCTATTTGACATATTTTCATTATTGTAAACAAAAAAAAATGGAAGAACGTCAAATATACAGAGTATTCTATTTAAAAAGAAAAACAAGTTTGTTTTATATCTTCGAAATGGTCAATTGGGTTTTCATATCTTCAAGATCGCAAACTTTAGTTTGTCTTTACTATTTTTCCATAGATAGAAAGGTAAAATATATAAAGGGAGTAGAATGCTGTCGATGGAGTCAGCGATTCCAGCTGTTCCATAAATGTCTTCATCGTATCAGTGTGGTAAGCCAGTAGTTGATTCTTTAAATATCTTTTCCAAGTTTGTAAACATCCTATACAGGGTGTGGCGTGTATAATCTATAAAAATTAAACTACAGCTACCTAACGATATTTGTAATAGAAAACCACATCCGTAAGCATCTGTAGTTGCCAACTGCGTGCACTAAACAAACTCCATTAAAATATGGAACAAAATGAAATAAAACTTACCATTTCTAGAGAAAATGTTGAAATTGATCCCCATTAGCGCGGATACAGGCATGGCACCGACGCACGCAATTTTGGCGAATATTTTCCCAAATTTCAGGTATTCCCCCAATTGTGTCAGCAGCTTCGAGTATACGGTTTCGCAATTCTTCCACCGTAGCAATTGGACTATTGTAAACCAATGACTTCAACTGACTTCAAAGATAAAAGTCCATTGGAGTTAGATCGGGTGACCGAGGTGGCCACGGCACAGGACCAAAGCGGCTAATCCATTGCTGAGAAAACATTTCATTCAAAAGAGTCGTTACTTCTCGAGTACTGTGTGGAGAGCCCCATCTTGAAGATAGAACATGCATGCCCGAACTTGTAAAATGCCACATTGTCCAATAATTCAGGCAACCGGTTGTCCAAAAAGTCAGCATATGTATATGTCCATTTAATCGTCCTTCAAAGAAATAGGGACCCACGAGTACGTCACTTATTGCCAGTCCAAACATTTACCGAGAACTGATGTTAAAAATGAGTTTCCCTAATCGCGTGAGGATTTTCATCGGCCCATATGTGCATATTATGGAAATTCACTTCATCACGGGTAAATGTCGCTTCATCTGTTACACAAACATAAGCAGGAAAGTCTACTTGATTGGCACATTGCCGTAAAAATCATCTGCAAAATCCGCAAATCACAATCCGGTGGTAAAATCTGTTGAACTGGTTGCAGATGATAGGGGTGCAACAGCTGGCGCCTTAAGATGCGATCTCGCAGCCGCTGAACGCACTATAGCATTGTAGATTGCAAAGTAAGAAATAAGAATGTCGTTTTTAATGTAATCGGCACTTCTTATTTTTTACTTCTTTATAAAAATTACAGTATCACTATCGTGAAATTAGAAAATAAAAACTTTTGTCTGGAATCTTTCACTTTTTAACACAGATGGGTCGATGGACGATGCTTAGTATTTAATAATTAAGTGAATAATGAATTCAATTCAATAATTTTCGTATAAGAGTTTTGTATTACAAATATAATCAGGAAGCTGTAGTTTAATTTTTATAGATTATTCACGCTCGACACTGTACAACGACTTGTCAAAGAAATCCTTAAGCAAATACTGCCCAAAGGCTCTAATATTGTTGATATCTCAGTTTTATACTTCAACCTTATTAGTTTTATCTTGTTGTCAAGTCTATTTATAAAATCTAATCTAAAACTGTCTCTGCTGTCGGATTTGCATTGTGCAACAGAGTTGTATTTTGACTGTCTCCACCAAGTCGCGACATCAAACTACAAAGTAGCTGCTCCCCTCATCCTGCTTACTGCTATTTTCGCCAAACATTTGTTTAGAATTTTACATTAACGTCGGGACATACGACACATCTCCTTTGATCTGCTGCCACAGCCCGCGGCCGCCTTTTTGATCTACATTAAATGGCGACATATTTCGTGAAATATATCGTCCCCAGGCCAATTTTCCTCTCCCATCCTTCACTTGTAAAGAGCCGTGTCATCGTGACATCGTCAGCTGATTTATCTCTTAGGTAAAGACATAAAAAGTTGGTACGTCTTTATTGTGAGGAAGAGCGCGCGGCATAAAAGTTTGACGGCAGTCGAGGAAGGAATGAAAAGACCCTCTCGGAACTGGAATCTCGAAGAAACGTGAGATTTTTGCGATGTGTATTTGAAACGACAAAGAAATTGCAACGAGAGCGCCTCGAGTTTTGTATCATAATTCATGTTTTTGCAGAAATAATTTATATTCGCACTTACTGAGTCCAAATGTTGACTGCATCCCTTGCTAGACTGCATATAGTGTGCGCATGAGGAACTTTTGACAATTATTTTTAAAATGGCACTCCAATCATCAATTTTTCCTTATATCTGGACTAAAGTCAAGATCTGCCCTATATTCAAAGGAGGTTACAAAAATTCCGTTGAAAACTACAGGCCTATTACAATTTCGTCTACTCTCGGCAAGTTGTTTGAAATTATTCTGTACACAATTTCATATTTTCATGTTTAATCTCAGTTTCAACTTATCAACATTATAGCAAATAGATCCACTTTAACTGATTTAATTCTCTATGCATTGGATATTTGCGGAGAGACTGATGCAGTTTGCACAAATCTGTCAAACACTTTTGACAGGTTGAATCTCAGGATTCTTCTTCATAAGTCGGATTGTGGTGTGTCGAAAAACTTTTTAAAATTTCTCGGATCTTACCTAACAGATCGTTAATAGTTCAGAATCATGGTCTTACATCGACTGAAATGGTTGCTGTTTCGGGAGTACCTCAGGGTTCAGTTCTTGGCCCGCTATTATTCAATATGTTCATTAATGATATTTGCGATAACTCTATCTGTTCTTTTATATGCAGATGACGTCAAATTGTTTACCTCTGTTACATTTGTTGATGACTATTGTACTCGCAAATTTGCAAAGATAGGAATTTTAAATATATTGTTGCGATGTTTGAGAACATTGCAAATTGTTGTTAATTTTGCAATTTTGAAAATTTAGAAAGTTGTAAAGTTTCTTACTGCTGTTCAACAAATTTTCTATTATTTATTGAGGATTTTTCTGTTTAATCTGACCAATTTCTGATAAATTGTACTACATCACTGACATTGACATTAGGTCAGTTTCTCAACTCACTTTCAACAAATCCAATCCTAGTAAATTGGGCACAACTATTCTGAACGTTACGTTTTTGGTTAAATAGACATATTTTTATATAAATTTGTAAAAGATTTATCAAAATTGTTAGTAAATATAATAAATTCTTATCAAGCCTGTCAAATCTGAGAATGTCTAGTCAATATGTAGTGAAGTTTGTAATACCTATTTCTGACTATTGTGTAATAAATTTAAAAAATATTTGACATGTTATGAATTTTTTTACTTAATCGGACAAATTTCTAATAAGTTATAATAAGTTACCTACTGATGTATTAGTTAGTTAGTTTTTAGTTCGTTTTTGATAAACTTTTACTTAGTTTCATCTAATGTATTTAATCAATAATCATAAAATTCAATTTTGAAAAAAAAATGTTTTTTTCAAAATTTGTTATATCTTTTTTACAATTTTAGGTACATTGGATATTTCAAATGTTGAGAAATTTTTTTTTTTAATTTAAAAAAAAAGTTGAAAATTTTGATTTTTTTTCCAAAATTTAGAATTATTTTTATTCGATATAACACCGAGTTCGCAAAAAGTGTAAGACCGCTAAAATTATAGTCAAAAATTATTTTTGATGGTTTTAAAGTATAAGATATTATGTTACACTTCTCAACATTTATAGGAAATTCAATCAATTCGCTCCAGTAGTCAATTTGAATCGAATCATTTTGAAGACGTATACAATCGTCGATGTGTTCAAGGGTTGAGAATATTTTCAAGT